ACCTAAATAATAAATATGAATATCTATTTATAATCCTCGTCCTCTAGATACCTCTGCATTTTGCAGTAAAATGTAATACAAAATAAAAAATTCCTCCGTATAAAGTTTCAAACGATTTCTCGGTCGGACAACTTCAGTCCTTCAATGCACTGCATCCCGGTGGCCGGTTCTAGGGAACGATCAAATAAAGAATAATCGGCTTTCATTAGAAGTCGCTACTGATTTCTCCGAGGAAGTGATCAACTCGCGGCTTACGGGATCGAAGGAGATTTAAAACGCGGTTCCCAGTTCCGCTTTGCAAGCAAACTTGAATGAGCACTTTATACTCTATAAGATAGATACATGGAAATGTTTGATGTTCATGTTTTTTGTTTGTTTTTACGTGAAAAACGTTTGTCAGATTATTCAGTGGAGATATATGGAAGCCTGGAGATGAAAAGCTTACGATGCGTCATACATACATACATAACTTGACGACTGTCTCCAATGGGGGTAGGCAGAGACTATGGAACGCCAATTACTACGATTCCTACATACCTCTTTCGCTTCATCGACAGTCATCAATGTTTTTATGGATGCTCGTCGGTTAAGGGTAGTTTTAATCTGGCCCTAAGGTTGCAGAAATTTTTATACCAAGACGGTGGCAAAAATGCACACGGCACACCTAATGTGATTGTCGTGGTCTAGGAACGCTTGCCACACTTAGGGAATTACATGCGCCTTGCTGACCCTTAGAAAAACTATTTACACAAACATTATGCTCTTACAGTCGCTCCACTAGTGAAGTTTCATTTGCTCATAAAGCTAACCCGGAAAACTTCGTAAGTAGAATAATTTTTATTCTCATCTTTTAGACCTCCCTAGGACTCCCATTAACATTTCAAGATCAAAATTAACCAAATCGGTTCAGTCGTTCTCGAGTTTTAACGAACTTTAACGAACTAACGAACGGAAATTCATTTTTATTTATATAGATAGATTGAGGTCTTGATCACTACCAACATATCAAATCTCTTAAAAAAACAGGTTAAAATACCATTCTATTTATCAATTCACACACCATTGCAAATATACTTCATTTTCAGTCAACTGGTTGCCAATCTCCGCTGTTTTCCATCACAATGAATTCCTCGCTTGCTTTACAAAAAGAAGCTAACAATAGCTAACGTTGGAAAATGAGCCGTTCTGCATATATGTAACAAAAAGTAACAAACTACATTAATTACTAACCAAATGAATTATTACTTGGAAGTCGTATATTGGTCAATTGTTTCAATAGTTAAGTATTGAACGCCTGATTAAAACTGAATAGCAAAATTCGCTTTTGTGTGATTTCTATTTGTTTATTTTTATTTTATCCGTCTTTCCCTTTTATACTTTTAAGTCTCTAGTAAAGCAAAGACGTTTCTAAAAACGATTAAAATTAAGATACTTACAAACGACGTCCAGTCTAGTACTAACAATAATCCATTAAGTACCATCGTAAAGTACCAACAACACGTAACGGAAAGTTCCTTTAAAAATCCTTATAGAGATCGCAAGAAAAGGTACTTACTGAATCAGCTTTTTGATAACATTAAACCTTGTACTTTGACTTCAAAAGATCTTTGTAGGATCATATCCGACTCGCATGCTCGTACAACGGACTGCCGAGCGCTTTCCCTAATGGAACTTTGTGTTGTATCAAACTTTGATCCACAAAAGGTCAGCGGACAAAGACACAAAAATACACCACGAGCTTTTCAGTTTTTTATTTGTAAATAGACTCTAAAGTAGAAACTTTTTGGTCAGATCTGGCCGACTTTTTCGTTTTCACCAGCATCCGATGCACATTTTGTCGTCAGTGTTATTTTTTTCTTACTTTTTTCACGGAATATTGCGCCGCTGTACAGTGCAGTGGAGCGCCGCTCTTAGCTAAGAACCTTTTCATTAAGTATTACTCGGAACTGTTTTATACAGACTTTTATAGGTTTAACACCAGAATGCACTCGGAATTGGAATCTATTTAGTGTTTGGACAGCTGTAAAGTTAATGTTTAAATCTATATAATGAAGTAAGTACCTCCTGAACTTAATGTTCTCTTTACCATTTAGGAATCAAATTCAAATATTTAATTGGGAAATTCAATTAAAAATCGAATTAATCTGTAAGTTAAGTAATTAAAAAATATTTTATTTTGTTGTAAAAAAAAACAATACTTAGATAAAACGAATCAAAGTTAAGGAGTGGGGGCTAAAACGTGATTTCTACGTATAAAATGTACATAGAAGTGACGTAACGCGTCATTTCAAATCTGTATATCGTCGAAAGTTTTAGGTTCTGTAAGAAAATAAAAAATACGTGTCTAATGATTTAAAATAATCTACCAGACGGACATTAGAATAAAAATTAGACATCTACCCTATTATATACTCGGTCAGTTTATAGTAGGTAATAAAAAAAGAGAAAAGTTCAACTCTCAACTCATTTATTTTCATTTTGGATGAATAATCTCTAAAAGACTATGTCTTTTACATTCACTGCATTGTTATTGAATACAAATACACTATGTAGTAACATATTCATAAATCATTTACAGTTATTCTCGACAGATTGAAATAGTTTCCATAGATTTTATATCCCGGTACAGTGCAAGTCAAAAAAGAATGCATGTGTAGTTGCCTATCTAAAATGATAAAGTTACTAAAATCGGCTTTTAACTATAGATTAATTTACAATGAGTGAACAAAATAAAACTAACGTTTGAATCAAACAAATATTACCTTTACATAAAGCACGCAATACATTTTTCTTTTCGGCTCGTAATGTTCCGGAGTATATAACGAATGGATACTTAATTTGAGACCGGCTCATATTGTGACATTTCGGGAGACCATTTTTAGCTGCATGCGTGTGGAAAAAAGTAGTTTGTAGTTTGTGGCTGTGTGACAATGACTCTCCAAATTACTCTTTTCCATGCGTTTCTGTTACGACTATGGGAAATGGTCACGTGAAATAATACACGAACATGTAATCTCACATTTGTTTTTGGTTATTTTTAAAGATATTTCTTATTTTATGATGTTTCTACAAAATCATAGAGGTAATGATATGTAGATATATTTATCAATATTTCTATTTCGGTATACCTGTCATAGATTAGACATTGGAGATAATAAGTCACTACATATAAATATTTTCTAGAAATGGTAAGTATATTTTTTCAATATAAATAAATAATAATTATTATATTTCTTAAAACCGAAACCTCGCAACAATTTATTATACAATATACTTAACAAATATATTAATGTAATACCTACTACTATATTTATAGTGCATTGTTAAAATATCATTTATAAGCGTTAAAACAACAGTTTGCTGAAACGATCAATGTATTAAAATTTTTATTTCTAAACAATTTTTAATAATAACACAGTGGTCAGTTTAGATAAAAAGTATATACACGTTTCCTCATTTAATAATAATATTATGTATTTAATATAAGCGATCTATAAGTTTTATTATTTTTTTGGGCCAATACGAGAATAACCACAATTGTAGAACCATTGTATTTTAGCCTTGCAATGCTAACGTCATTGCAAATTGACGACTACAAACGTCATCATCACAGCTGTCACTTGTCACAGGTCACCCAACTTTCAACTTTAACACATCTACGTAAGAAATGAAACACGTCAGCCGGGGTGCAACAAACAAACATGGCGTCAGTCTTACGTCACACGTATTGCGTAGAATTTTTGACAAGTTTTTGCTTAAGTTAGCAATCCATTCATTGGCGCATCTGTGAAGTTTTCAATGGCTGCGACTGACAGAATAAATATTGTGAAACTGTCGAGTTTCCTTGCAAGTTTATTATTAGGTATATTATTATTCAATTGTTATTTTTTCGTATTAATACTATTATTTTACTGAGCTTTCATCATTAAACAAAAAATTGACGAAAACAGATTTACAAAAGAGAAAATGTTTGTAAATACAGACGGCGAAAAAATGCCCGAGCGACCAAAAATACCAAATGAAAGGGTAAGTCTACTTGCAATGGACTTACCCTAATGGAAACAGATGTGAACACAGGCAATATGTATGGATACATAGTTATGGATACTTTCATCTATCCTTTCCACTAAAAAAGCTTAAAATGTTTACAAGGAATGACTAAATAATTATCAATACACAATAATAATAAAACAATAATGACACTACAAAAATAATAACAGTGTAATAATTCGACACAATAATCAAACGAATTTAAATATTAACATTGTACAGTCAATGACAAAAGTGTAGAAACAAAATGGCTCTTCTATTTGTTTATTATATATAGTTACTCATTAGATACCTATTCAGTCACTTACTAGGTCTAATTTGATATAATTCACGGAACGAAACGATGACCTGAGGCCTTTATCAAAGATTATTTTACGTTACGAATACGCGTTCGGCACTGATTGGTTGGTTCATTGGAGCCAGCCAATCAGCGCGACGAACGCGGTCTCGTTTCAGTTACTTTAAACGTAAACTAAACTCATACTAAGCCCTCAGATATTGACGTGTTGGGGATAAGTTACACACACATTATTGTTTTTAATAATTTAATTATTATCAAAACAAATTCCTTTTCTTATAATTGTTTTAATTATCTACCAAGCACCTATAGGTACATGATTGCAATAAATGATGGAAATAACTATAAAATAATGATAAAACGGTACGCGAACTTGCCCCCAACTATTTAATTATTACCGAAACAAATTGCTTTTCTTATTCTTGTTTTTAACATGATATAACATCACGCCTATTATCCCCGAAGGGGTAGGCAGAGATGTAAATTATACCACTGTACAATGTAACTCCCACTTTTCACTATATACTATGAGTCCCATGTAATAGGGGGTGACCCTATTGCCATATATCCTCGTGCCCGCACCATTCCAGACTCCGTGCTAATACTGAGAATTTAAAAAAAACCCAGTAATACTTTGACCGACCAACCGGGAATCGAACCCGATACCTCTTGCCCGGGAGTCGCACTTGCGTCCACTCAACCAACGAGGCAGTCAGTCTTGTTTTTAACTTTCTACCAAGTAGATACGTATAGGTATATGATTACTATAAATGATGGAACTAACTACGAAATAATGACTCCACCATATCAAAATCTGGCCATCGTTCGTGACGGGAATTGATAGACACGTCATACTTTAACTCGTTAGCCACTTTCGTCACTGACTGTACTTTTAAAATGAGTTAATTTTAATTTCAGCTATGTGTTGACACAATGCAACTACTTACAACTCTATCACAGGATGTTCTGAGCTTAATATAAAGATGACATCCTTATAAAATATTTTACCTAAACTATATTTATACATACGTTAATATTTCCTAAAGTATACACAGTAAAATACAATAATCATTATTATATAATATTAAATATAACAAATTAACATTTAATAATTTCATTAAGTTATTGAATTATCGATTCAATTGTGATAATTTCAAAAGAGAATGCCTTAATTTTTGATTGAGCAATTTTTTTGAAATTCCTTTTTTTTTAAGCAACATAATTTATATCTATAAACAATAAACATAATGGTACTTTTATCTACATAAGACGCTACCCGACTACGGAACCTTATAGTCTAAAAAGGCAAGTTGATAATTCGTAAAATAAGTACAAATAAGTAATCTTACTTACAGGGAAACATAGTCGGGGGGACAATGTAAAAATAACATTAAATATACGCATTTCATTGACTACAATTATTTGGCAACAACACAGGAATTATTTACACAAAAACACTCAGTGCTCATAATTTACTACACAAACAATTTACAAATGGACGACGAAAAAGGCGTAACACAATGAGATTATAGTCTATGCCTACAATAAATAGTATCTATCAGGTTTTTAACCGAGGAACTGCAACATTCACCCGCATTCATTTCTTACACTTCATTACACATTGCATCAGTCTGTCCGTTACTGGCAATTGCACACCGCACAGCGTACTAAATTCAAATTCTGCATTGTTCCACATTTGAAAAACTTACGTTGGAACTAAATTGCCAGATGCATAAAATGCTAAGTGCGTTAGGCTTGCAACACTGAGTAATAGAACACTATGGGAGATGTGTGATCCCTTGTCCGGTAGTCCACACTCTTGCCTGTTGTATTCGAAGCAGAAATTCTGTAAAACAAATGTTTCATGTTGAAATATTCCCACAAAATAATCTATTATTGTGTTAATAGAAAATATTTTTTTATAATTCGACAGGTTTATATGATTGTACACTTGTACAACCGTCGACTGATAGACGAAAATGTAGGAAAACTAAAACCCAGACTAGGAAACAGAATTTACAACACCATCCACAGTTTCGGAGTCACGAACGAAATCGGAAGAGTTTCCCGTCACGACAGCGACACTGTCTTCTGTTTGCCTCTACAAAACTTGTAATTTTGTAAAAAGAAATAATAAAGTTCGTGAAATTCCTAAAGCTAGTTCTTTTCGAACCGTAAGAGTACCGCAGTTCATACACGTTGTATGAAACATCCTGACGAAGATATATAAAAGTTTCCCCGACTCCGTAACAAGGAATTTATTTTTCGCTAAAAGATTTCTAGCCGTGAAAACTTACTTAGAAAGGTCTGAGATGTAATTAGCGTAGTTAGTGTCTAACACAAGCAATCTTTACCAAGGCTAAGAGGCTTGAGACTTCAGCCTTTTTCTTTTACGTACTTATCCAAACTTGACTAAAATTTTCATCACGCACAAAAAATTCAATTATTATTTGATTATATTACCTTAATAATGTTAGACGCCATTCGCTTGAGAAAAGCGCTAGTGAACAATGCTGCTTCGTCGCCACAGGACCTCTGCACCGTCTGTTCTGAGCACATCAGGTACTCTTGGAATGAACTGAAATCATCACAACTTTATTAAACATCCCAATGAAATAAAATAATCTTTAGCACGCAAGACAGAAGGTTCGAAATCGAGAAACATTTAATTTTAATATTAATCAATTTGCATAAAAGAAGCCTAATGAATTTTCATACAAGAAGCCGCTACGATAATTAAACTGTTTTGTTAAAAATACGATAAAAGTCGTACGTAATTAGATTTGATTTTAGGTAAGATCCTGGCGATAGAAAAAGGCAATACCTAAGCGTATTACCCTGAGCCCAATTTGCAAATAAATAGAATTTCCTTAAGGTCAAGTAACATGAAATTAATGCTAACATATGCTACATGATATACATAGTAAATTCTAAGAAACACGCAATTTCGCGAACCTCATAAAAGGAGGAGGAAGGTCACTTGAAATTAAAACACACGATTAATATGTTGACCTTATCTATCTCAATTAAGAATGAACTAATTAGTTAATTTCGTATCGTATTTTATATCAGGTGATCGAAGGGAATGGCCGCCATGAGCCAAGACAGACCGAATGAGAAATAGTAGGGCAAATTAACAAATTGATACATCAACCCGAGTCCAGCCGTTCCGTAGATGGTTTACAGCCAAATGTAACAATCACGATAGGTCAAAGGCTCGCATCGGAATGAAGATTTGAGGTCGAAACAATTAACGACCGCAGTATTAAAGGGAAGATTTATTAATGCAGTATTTTGCGGGATATCCTACATCAGGAACTGTTTTTACTTGGAAAAAATTGCAATACATTGGTTTCAAAGGGCGACTTCTGAGCACGAGATCTTGCATACTCGGATTGGCTAAAGCATAATTGACATTTTCTCTTAAATAGAATCGGGTTTAGGGTACGGCGACAAGCATTTACCTTGTGTCATGATGCTAATAGCAACATAACTGATAACCAGATAAACTACGTTTAAAAAAACCGACTTCATTCCCCTCTTTTTTTGAAGACCGTTTATTAATATACTAAAAACCTTATCATAATTGTAACAAACCCTTTTCTGAAAACCGCATCAAAATCAGGTATACAGGTCAAACTCAGAACATTCGGTTTTGAATTCTTTTTTGTTAGTCCACCTCAGTTTATCCATTCAGAGATAAACGCTTGTATAAACACGTAATTTTATAAATCATCGGCTATACTTAATGACGTTTAGTTCGCACCCATATCGTTATAAAAACCGAGATAGGCGTGCACATCATTACATAACATAACATCACGCCTTTTATCCCCGAAGGGGTAGGCAGAGGTGCACATTATGCCACTGTACAATGTAACACCCACTTTTCACTATTTATGTTATGAGTCCCATGTAATAGGGGGTGAGCCTATTGCCATATGCCGGGCACAATTCCAGACTCCGTGCTACTACTGAGAATTTTTTAAAAACCCAGTAATACTTTGCCCGACCTGAGAATCGAACCCGAGAGCCCTTGCCCGGCAGTCGCACTTGCGACCACTCGGCCAACGAGGCAGTCATCAGGCAGGCATGGCATCCATCTCGTTATATAAAACCAGATAGGCGTGCACATCATTACCATTCATTATATAGTCCGTAGTTATTGCAGATACATAATTGTCGATGTCAATCGTCGCTATTGGACCCAATTGACATCTTCAATTATGAGGCACTTAAACCGCTTTGATGGTCCATTATGATTTCATGTTTATCTTTTATTTTTGTTGTATTCATTACTACAGACAAGTTTAGTATTCTAAATATTGTGTTACATTTTCATTTTTGTCCGTGTGCAAACATTCATGAGCCCTTTTTGTTCTGGATTTCTTGAGTCTACAAATTATCCATCGTGGCAGTAAATATAACACAGAACTAGCAACCATTGCAATTAGCTTTCCCAGAATTCAACATGACCATAATAGAAAGCGATAGGCGTCAAGTAGGCGAATGATCCATATCAAGTTTAATTTCATAACACACTTCTTGTGCCCTTTGAAACTCCAGTACCTATATCAAAATTAAAATCAATTCAACCCGTAAATACGTATGTGGTTAATGAAAAAGACTTCATTTAGGTAAATGTTGTGCAAGCAAAAAACAATACATGAGCAATACAGACTCGATATTCCATTCTGCATTCAGAATTCGAAATTTTAAGTTGAAATTCGAACGTACAAATAACTTCGCACGACTGTCGAAACGCGTTAAATCCTCTTTTAGAATATCTTTCATTGTGTTCCGCTAAAATAATGTAAACATTAGCTTTGAAATAAAATGCATGGTTTAATTCAGCCAGAGTCACAGTCGGCACAGTTCGCTCAGTTGCTTTTTTCAGTGTGGAAATAGCTGTGTTTTTGTTCATCTTTCCATTGTGTCAGTGCATGACCAGCGATGTATAAATCCTCTGATAGTGTACGAATATTTTAACTAGAAAAAACTGACCAAACTCACAACATTCCAATGCAAATTGTTATTTTGTACACGAAAATATTACTATAGCGAACTTAACACAGAAGTCGTTAGCATAAAAATTAAGACAATAAACGAAGGAAAAAATACAGCCTTACTTTTCCCAAATCAACAAATGTCCGACAAATTGTAGATTCAATTGTATGGAATGGCGGGGATAACGGAATCATTAACACACCGAAAAACTCTTAAGTACACCACTTAATCCGAACTGAATCTTAATCAGGGTTTAATGGTGAGAAGAGGGGCGCAAAATGTCTTCCGAACATCCTCCTAACATCAGCTTATCCAGGAAACACTTCGAATTTACGTAAACCCGATAAAATTAATGAACGCGAGCTCATTTAGATGACTCGTATGAGAAAATAAAGAATTTCGGTTACTCCCACAAATACTGGCGTTGATCGTAAACATGGAGCGTACTTAATTTAATGGAATATTTGACTTTTATTCACAGCGATCTTACAAAAAGACTCGCGCAAAATCTAAACCAGAAAAATTATATTACAAAGTCGACAGGGCCCGAACCATGGGCGAGCGTTGTTAATTTACATGTAAATTGGTACAGATAAGTATTATTATCAGTGGAAATCACGCTTCAGACAAGTAATTAGTTCGTGAGGCTGGGGGTTCTGTTCGATTTGTTGAATATTTTACTAACGCGGGCTATTCAATATTCAGGGCTCCTCCCGACTCTTTGAAGTACCGACTCTCCAAGACTTCTCCTGATAACTTCTATGATAGTTTAATTTGCAGAACTTCAAATTGAGTGACGTTGTTCGACTGAACAGTGAAAATAGTCTAGCAGACTAATCGAACAATTCATGCCTGGTTCCTTATTATAAAAATAAAGATGTATTTATGTATGAAACTGTGTTGATTCTCAATACATATTGGCCTTGTCGGTTGCCAAAAAACAAAATACCTAATCGTCGAAGCGACGGGCGTGCGGCATACACTCGCTATAAACGAGTTTGTCCTACGCGTTCCGTATCAAAGTGGATGGATCTACACGAGATTTTTTAATACATATTAATGCTTTTTCCGTCAGAATATCTTTTTGTTTCCACAAGTAACGCATCATTCTCTGAGCACGTGCGACTTCCTGTTTATGTTAATATTTTGATAACAAAAACATTGTAATTTAATTAGAACAATAATAGGCCGATAAGTAACAAAAATCGGTAACGATTGCAATCTGAGTATCAAAATAACTGATAACATCAGAAATCATACGATGACGTCACGACTTTATCTCCTCGGGTATTTTTATCTGAACTTGTGATGCATTACTGGAATAATTATGCCAACAAGATTTAATCTTCCGTAAGTCAAAGGACTGCGAAGAAATTTTTTGAGCAAAACAATTTGCAGACTGTTGTCTTTGGTAAGTTTGGCGGATGGCGCACTTGAAGCATTTAGAGAGAACCCTGGATTTATCAGTATGGATTTTACAGTAAGTGCTCTGACTAAAATAAAAGCAACAGTGGTAGGAAATTCAGGCGATGCCATAAGAACATTAGAATTGGCTGGTTCTACTACAGAAAATAATGTTCTGTGACTGCAAATAACAAAAGACAGTTTGATTATTATAATGAATTCTGAATTTGAATCACCTTTATTAAACTAGAGGATTACCCGCTTAACAAACGAGATTTATTAAAAGTAATAACAAAATGCAAAGTCAAAAGTGAATAAAAGTATTTGTTTTGTTCGCTTTTGTAAATTCTGGGTACTGATGCAATATGAGCAGCGAGCACCCGAAATCAGTTTATTTCGTTTTGCATATTCCAGCACTCATTCAGTGGACGAGGTTCGCTTTTATAAGTTCGCTGAATTCAACCTGAACGACGAAAATAATAATTAGGTACCTATTGTATAATATTTCTCGCACTAGTCTAAAAGTAGGTATATAGAAAATCAGAAAAATATTTCTGTTAAATTCCGATATTCTGTGGCAAAATTAATGTCAACATTACCCCTTGTAATACACATATTCATATTCATATTCAGTATCTCTATTTATGTCTTTCTCGAAAACTTATGTTACTGAATTTCATAATGAATCTCATACCTACTTATTACATAAAGTCAACCTATTGCTTTACATATATCAAGGTCCATGCTGTTACAGAAAATATTGAACATCGAAAATTCCATCACTGATATAAATGTTTATCTCGACAATCGCTGCCGCTGTTACGACTACTGGACAAACGAAGTAGTTTGAAAAAACAAAAAAAAAGTAAAGAAAATTCTTAAATTCGAAATTCGGACCATCATCCACGTAACAAAGTATCAACAAAGATAACATTGGGCAGTTTTGGAAACGACATCACACTACGAACGCCAATTCCACTGCCAAACGTTTCTAGTAATTACGTGAATGGGATTTTTATGGCGGATAGTTCGCTATAAAAAGGTCCATCTTCAAAATAACGTACGTACATTTATATTTCGTATTTTAAGGCCGAAGGTGTAAGATAGGGGAGAAATTCCAGTAGCACCTTTCGAGAAAATTGTAGCCAATAGCCTGCCTTTTGTAAATCAAGACAGAAATCAAATCTTATATCGATCTACTCAATGTATTTTTTATTGTATATAGTTTTTTTTATACTTTATTCACATTTTACTCACCAACAAACTGTCCTAAGATGATCTTCATGGCTGGTCACCGCTTGATCTGTCTGATACTGATCTCCTTGCTGATGACTACCCAACGTCATCAGCGTTACTTCATATTTCTTGCTGCAAGTTTCATAATCTGATCGGACGGTCTTCACACAATCAGCATGTTTTAAGTACTCATCTTGGTATGGTCCCCTAGTGCACAATTCTTGTACCACATCCGTAATACCAGCGTATATACGACGAAATACGACTTGCTCATGTTTCTCCATGCAGACGTTTGTGTAGTTGTCTATGCATTTTATTCCCATTCGAAGTTCACTGCAACAAAAATGATTTATTATAACTTGGACCGAGAACACTGCCCTGTGGAAACCTCTTAAATTTGCCTCTTGGGAGTATTCCGAGTTATAAAAAGGTATCGTAATTTTATGAAATGTTTAACAGACGGAATATTTTAGTACATTTCTGCGGATGTCACGGTAAGAGCTAGGCTACGCTAGCTAGAAGAGAACTCGATCGCGGTCCGCAATGTCATTGGTTGTGAGAATAATCTCGACCAATGACGGGCAAGAATAAGATCGAGCTCACTTCGAATGTTCAAATTGACAGTTACAGAAAAGCCTAGCTGTTGCGAGATAAAAAAAATAAAATCAATTGAGTGAATTGATTGCGAAGCCGCATAACAAACATCCTAATTGCGGATTTCTGATATTTTCTTCCGGATAAAAATCAGGATTACTAGAACCACTAGCCATCATCACCATCAAACGTGATTATATGAACATGTAAATAATAATAACTATAACTTTCTCGTATGTTATTTATAAACTTGCAAAAGAGTATTCGTATATTCCATGTTGTTTATAAAAAGGCCATGCAGACATTTACAACGAACAAAAAATGATATTTGCTTTGTCGAAACTCGGTAAGCAACCTATCATTTCCAATCAGAGATTGTTCCTGCTCGTATTAGCTGTGTTATGTAGGTTAATCCCTTAAAAAGAGGAAAGGGCATGACTAAACACATTTATCATCCACGGGCGGCCATTATAATCCACCTGTGGGACTAGTGGGAATTACTCCAGCAAACGCCGCCTTATGTATTATGGATAATACGTTTTTTCTGTTTTCAAATCCCATATACCAGGAATCTCTGCCAATCTAGTAGCGTTTACAAACAAATGTGTCTAGTAAAAATGTCTAGACATAGTGTATCTACCTTTCTAGATCAAATATTTGCTCTGTGAAGTGATTGAATCGACTTTCCGATAAAAATATTACGGTGTTTTAACCAAAAAAAAATATTTACTTTATCTGACTGTGATCAAGATTTTTAGATTACCGGTACATAACAAATAGTCCTAGCAGTTAAATAAAATAGTGTTAATAGGAGTTTAACTAGCGATTCAACCGTTTGAATGCCGGGTCAGAGACAATAGAAAACACATTGTGTCTCGCGTACATCTGCGTTCTAGCATACAACGGGTTAAATACTATTGAAAGAAAAAGAAAAGAAAGAAAGAAAGAAAAATAATTTATTCGCCACCGCCATGGACCACCGAATAACACACAAAATAATAACAAAACAACATTGAAAAACAAAAAAAAAATAAAAAAAAATAAAAAATAATAAAAAACATTAAGAACAAAACAATAATAACATACAAAAAACAGCAGTAAAAAATAAAACAACAATGAAGGCAAAAACATAAAAAAGCAAAATTAAAAAAAAAATTAATATTGCAATAACATGAGCTTATTATACCTATATAGTTACACAACATTCATTCGCGTTCTTACAGATAATTTTTAAGTACTTAAATCCCATTATCTATACATATAATAAAATCGTAGAAAAGTGAAAACTATACATCAAATATTTTGTAAAAAGAATGCTTTGGGCGTGATCTGCAGTCGATACCGAAAGCAAAAACATGGTTTTTAGAATTTTTGTCTCTTTTCTGTATGTATATATGTCCGGGATGAACTCAAAAATTGCTGCATGGATTTACTTCAAATTTTGCATGAATATTACTAACAGGTCGGGTCAACATACGTATTATCATGCTATCAACTACGGGGGAGGAGCTGTGAATCATTATTCCACCGATGAAGTGGCGGGCTCAGCTAGTCATTAAAGTATTATTGAATTTGACATTCGAGCTCTCGTGTATGGCTGCAACTGACAAAACAAATGAACATAAAGACAGATGCATAACTATTTTATTATCTGTATGATGCGTAGCGTAAGACAAGACCACCTTTAATCACGTGTATCCTAAAACATATTGATATCATCAATCCCTCTGCCGAGTCATATGACATTATTCTTATGATGAAGAAACTGTTCATAAATTCATTACAGCAAGGAAATACATTGTTTATCTTATCTTATACTATTATACCTCTATAAAGCGGAAGAGTTTGTATTTTTGTTTGTTTGTTTGAACGCGCTAATCTCCGTAACTACAAGTCTGATTTGAATTATTAATTTTGTGTTGGATAGAGCATTTATCGAGGTTGGCTATAGGCTATAAAACATCACGCTACGACCAATAGGAGCTGAGCAGAGCCTGTGAAACCGTGCGGAAGTAGCTAGTTGGATATATTTGATGGGCCGATGTTTGACTGCTATACCGCCTGATGGTAAGCGATGATGCGACCTACGTCTACATTGTCCGTTTTTTTTAAGAATATAGTTCGCTTTGGGCACGTCTTTACAAATAAGTAATCTTACGTTTGTAGACTTAAATGAAGGTACAGCGCAAATAGGTATTTATTTTCGTTAAAACAAACACCGAGCTTATCAATAGGAGGAGGACCAGATATGACTAATATTGAATTTTCACACATGTGAGATTAAGCTCTGATAAAAAATATAATTAAAAAATCATGTCATAGGTTTATCAAATAACTATTTCGGTGAGTCACATGAATTTAAGGAAATTCCATAAATAATAACACCACACATACCTACAACAATAATATTTATAAATGTTCAAAAGTTCTATTTACAATTGAAATGGACTATTGACTATGTATGTTCTTTGTGTGTTTGTGTCATTTATTATTTTGATTATTTGATGAATGAATGAATTGATTATTATTTTAAATTTATGATATTTGCTATAAAATCAATTTGTTAATTTATATACCTCTGATTTTTGAACCTGAATTCGTTTTTAATGTAATTTTATGGATTTTATTATCTGAAATAAATTGAAATTATTATTATTATTATATTATTAAAAGCCTCGACCAACACCTGAGTAGGCTAACGTTAGATGGTTGGGTCAATGGCCTTATACAGAAAGCAGTACCTACTTCTGGACACGGCGCGAATTGCCCTGACCGCCACGCCTGTAGCCTGGATTTCTACCGTTACTGATGGGATACTTGATGGGCTTTTTATATTTTAAAATGTTTTTTTATAAACAATCAATTATTTAAAAATATATAAATCACATTACATAACATCACGCCTTTTATCCCCGAAAGGGTAGGCAGAGGTGCACATTATGCCACTGTACAATGTAACACCCACTTTTCACTATTATGAGTCCCATGTTATAATATATAAATCATGTAGGTACGGAAATAAATGAAAGGAATAATAATATTCATTATTATTTTATGAATTTTATTTTTAGAATACATCCTAAGTCAATTAGTTTATTTGTTCACTACACTTTCACACTTTAAATACTAGACGATATAGCAAAAAGGAATTTCGGTACAGAGATGGATGAGACGCTAGAAATGAGGATTTAAGATACTTTTTGAGCAAGTGAAGCTGCGAGCAAAGCTAATATCTCAAAATTGATTGCTACAATGTAACACCCACTTTTCACTATTTATGTTATGAGTCCCATGTAATAGGGGGTAAGCCTATTGCCATTTTGCACTTCTGCCTACCCATTCGGGGATAAAAGGTGATGTTATGTTTTGTTATGTCGTGATTGCTACGAACACATTACAATAAACAACGTATCGTAGGCCCAAGAATACATCTGGGCCATCGCCAAAACCAAAAACATCGCTACATTGACATGAAGTACCTGCCGTATTAGGCACGTTAATATCGCGTAATTTTCAATGTTTGCCGACCCGACCGCAATAAAGTGCTTCATTGGCTATTCAGCTCTGAAGCGCTGAGTGAAGTCGGACAACTAGTTTCAAATTGCTATTTACCACAAACAAGAGTACTAAATTAAGATGAGCTACTGCACGCCGACCGCGCCATTCCGCCACTAGAAGTTAGTCTCTGACGCAGCTAACTCTTTAGCAGAACTTAACTAAAAGTTGTCGGTTGAGCGTAAATGAGTGAGATCGTTTGGCTATGATATCGCTCAAGTGAGAAAGATGAGCGGCCATTCTTCCGGCAGTTTGATAATTGGAAACTGAAGGGTTGCGGTTATTTGATATTTTTCCCATCAACTTTGACTATCAGTGACTTTAGGTGTCAGGTTCTTTTTTATATTTGTTATGGTTTCTAGTGTTTTGGGCTGTTTTTTTTTATTTTTATGATATTCTTCATGTATATTCTGTCCCTTATTAAGAAGTTAATAATTACCAAGACATTTTAGGCATCTTACAGTAAAACGTGATGATTAAACAATAGAACCAATCAGGTCAAGGATAACTGTTGTATTTATACGTATACAACGCATTGATTTGTCTATTTAAAAATAACAATATTATCTCGATCAGCATAATTGGGACCTTGCTACGAATTACATTGTCGATTGTAACACTTCCGCAATCTCATGTTTACATAATTTATGCTAATTTTAAAGTAACATCATCAATTAAATATGACACACGAATGTATTGAATATTATCAATGCATTAATAATATAGAATGCTGAATTAAATTACTTACACACAGCTTTTGTCCAGTTCCTCTCGTGTGAGTGCGAAAGATATTTCTGGTGAACTGAGCACTGGTAGAGCCATAGAACACCTTTGGAGCAGATCCTCTTCTCGATTGCAATGGCCTTTGAGTGCACCTGCTGACAAAGAAAAAACATCAAATATTAATAAAATAAAATCAATATACATTCATCCAATCAATAAGCAAATATAGCAATGTTTAAACAAGTGTCGGAGATAAATGTCGACAGACAATAAATTACAACACTCGTTCATCTGATATTTCATATCTCTAAATAGAAAATTAATTTAAAATTTTTGTCAAAGTTTTACTGTATCAAGCACCAAAATCTTATATCAGTAAATCATTTATTAAAAACTAGCTTTTACCCGCGGCCTCGCTCGCGTCACAAAAGGATAAAAAGTAGCCTATGTGACATATTATACCAATACACACAGCGCCATCTATACCAATACCTTTTTTCCCTCGGGAATATCAAATCTTTCCGGGATAAAAAGTACTCTATTATTTAATCCTGACTTCTAACTTTTCGTCTGCAAAAATTCAAAGCAATCGGTTTAGTAGTTACGGCGTGAAAGCGGAACAAACAAACAGACTCACTTTCCGATTTATAATATTAGTAAGGATGTTTTACATTAATAATTCTCTAAATTCTAATTTAGGGAGGAGTTTTAATCTTTCTGAGTTTCTGACCCTTCTAAAGTGGCTGAGTTCAAGTGAACTAACATCTCTATAAGAATATTTCAGTGTTGCTTGTATTTAGTTATTTAGTTAGATGAAAAGTTTAAATTAACTTTCCTTAAAGTCTCTTTGAAGTCTAGAAACTTATAATTCGGTGTCTACAACTGGATTCCTAATATGGTAGATATCTTTTAAAGGGACCCAAGGTGGCTTACAATTACAGAACTTGACAAAGAATTACGTAATTAACCAATCAAGTACCGGTTAATTAAGGAAATTCTATTGTTATAGGAAAATATTCATAATTAATGTCATATACCTTGAAGAATCCACTGGTTTTTGTGTTACATTTAATGTATGCGTCGATCGAGAATGAAGACTATAGATGTCAGCCTCAACAGATTTGGACGAATCGTATACAAAAATTGTAAAAGAAAAGGGCAGACTTAAATTCAATTAATGGATTAGTGTTTCTAGTGGAGTAAATAACTATATTAAAATCAAAAGATTTCGTATGTGATTGTCTTTATTTTCTCCTATGGAAAACGTAACGATACATATAACTCGTATACATGTATTGGCGTATATATGTACATATATAAGAAAATTAGGTCGCAACTAAATCTTAAGCGAAACTCCCTTTTGTTTTAAGAATAATATAAATTACGCATTATAATATGACCTTATCACGTAAAATGTTCCGCTTATATCGAGTAAACATTTAATGAATTTACATAGTTTAACAAACTACTGCTCTGACGTCTGACTTTGCACTTCTGACGTCCATTCATGTACACAACATAATTAATTGGCTTAATAAACCAATGAATAACTTAATTTCGTTTTACATTAATAATGCAAATTAATAAAAGTATACATTGTTATTTCGTTTCATTAAAATTCCCTGAAAGTTGAAGCAAGTCTGTAGTCATACCATATTCGGAACATGCAAAATCTATTTAGATTTAACAGCATTTGCTGTACCCGACCAAGAACCAAATCTAAAACCAAATCTTGTGGTTTACATTACTTGATCTCCACTAACGAAATAACATTAACAGTCGACATTAATATAGTCACTAAAATATTCCAAATTGAATTATTTGTGCAGAAACTATCTCCAACATTCACTTTTAGAAGATGAATTGAAATTTAATTTAAGCATTCTATTCTTGAACAGCTGTTCAGTATTACTTTGTCGAACTACTGATAAATGATAGCCCACCTATTGGAAACCAGTGATGAACGATGGTTCTATTACACGGTGAGAGACGGCTGCTGAATACTAAAACGAATGGCCAAATCGTCTTCAAAATCTCATCTATCTTCGTCGAACGTTGCTTCCATGATTTTGTATAAAACGTCAAAATCGACTACATTTCTATTTTTGATTGTCTATTCAATAAATATATATTTTGGTTCTCCAATTTTATTTGCAATGTATATTAGTAAAACAATGAATACGTTTCGATAAGGCGGAAGATGCTAATTATAACGAAGGCACATTTTGGCAGACCTCGCTGCACATATTTTTGGCTAGTTCTCTATAAAACTGAATAGTGTGTTAGCTTCATACAATTTTTTTGTTGTTTACAACTTTGTTTCATTTTTCATTGCTAGCGTGTTTACCCTATTCATCTGTTCTGTTGCGTTAGAAAGTGTTGTTATCTAGTACTATTTGTGCGCATGCCCGCGTCACCCACGCCCGATCGTGTTTCACGTGGCGTCCACGCAATCAGCTGTTTACTCATATGTGATTGGATCGGAAAATTTTAAAGAACTCATACTTTGCGTGCATTGTCCCTTACTCTAGGTCATTTCCATGACTCGTTCAATAGATAATGTCGGGAACAGTGATATCATTGTTTTGATGCAGTTTCTGTAGTAGATTTTGGATGGTTTTTCCTGTGAAAGGGTTAATTGTTTATTGGTTTGGGGGTAAAAAATTGGGATATGAGTCCTTTCACAAATTGGCAATGGCCTCGAACGTCATTTGACATCGTGTGTATCCTGTCAAACAGGTAGTTATTTTTAACAGTGCCGTTCTTAGCACTATGCATTCCAATGGTGTAGTGGGGAGCCGAGCCCACCACGCCGCTCTCTGTCATTGGCTGGCTCATATCGTACGATGTTTTTGCATGTGTGCGTGCCGTGTACACATTATACCATACGCTCTCACTCAATCGAAGTATAATCGTTGAGCAATTTAAGAAGTATAGTATAACACAGCAGCCTGATTGAATTGCTCCGATGCCATAGGAAGTCATTGTTGCCTTGACATGATGACGTAGTCGCTCTATTTGTTTTGATTCATCATTAACCTCATATTATGGAGTAGTCAGCGCTTGTTGTGTTTTTATTTCGCTTACTCAGATATCATTGTTGCAAGTAGGTATTTCACATGAACGTATGAGTTCTGTTATCTCACTACCTGTGTGATATTCACGGTAGCTGTTATACGCGTTACATTTTCATAAAGTTGACGAGGGACGGATACGATCTTATGGTTCTCATTTTAGTATCAACGTCGTGCACTTTGCTGACTTCTAGAACTTTCTCAACAGCTAATGGCACTTACTTATCGATAATTTCGGTCGGTCCTTTGATTAACAGTTACTTTATTCCAACAGTTATCTTACTTATGACACTGTAAAAGAAATGAAGAGTATTTATTTTTACAAACGTCACGGTTAAGTCCAGATTGAACAAAATACTGTCATAAGGATAAATCAGACACGACGAGGTACATATTTGTAAAAACAAGGGCTCCTTTTAAAGCCACGGATGACTTCACTGTAGAAATATTTAACGGTAGATACTAATAAAGCTCCTTATAATTTTACATCGAGATTAGAACCAGTATTGCACCGGCGACAGAGAGATAAGTTTACGAGTTATTAGTCTAGAAAATTCTGCAGTTTTAATTTAGAATGTGGTTGGCTTACTCCGCAGCGGAATGGATCACATTAGTTTCAAGCTTAGAAAAACATAAAAAATACCATTCGAAGTAAATTGCAGTCCCTTTGGCTGAATTATTCCCAGCACAACGTCGCTAAAAGTTGTTTTAAAGAAATTAAAAATTAATACCATTTTAGAAGCTAAATTTAAGGTGGAATCCATAATGGAAAACCTGGGTAATGTGATAATTGTATTGTAAAGGTAATTTTGACAACAACACATTGAGCATTTCAGCGTTATTTATATTAACTAAGAAGAATGATTACAATAAACTTTATTATGATATTTCGGAACATTAATGTTTAGAACTTATTTAGAAGTCGGAATTGCCTGAGAACAGAGTCGATTTACTTGGAAAATAATGAAAATTGGCCAATTTATCTGTCTTAGATCGTTTTTACTGAAGAAAGACATTAATGTCTACGTTTATTACACGAAACTTTATATCTAGTGGAGTGATAATGACATTGATAAAGAAGGTAAATATATAGTTTTAGTCTACAGTAGGTTAGGCGTATAAAACTTGGTGTACATAAATGTTTGTCTTATATTATGATGAAGGTGGATTCCGAGTATGATAAATTGTCGATTGATAAGAATGATGTATAAAGAATAAAATATCACGCCTTTTATCCCCGAAGGGGTAGGCAGAGATGCACATTACGGCACTTAATGCCACTGTACCATGTAACTTTTCACTATTCTATGTTATGAGTGCCATGTAATAGGGGGTGAGCCTATTGTTATATACCGGGCACAATTCCAGACTTCGTGCTACCACTGAGAATTTGTTAAAAACCCAGAAATACTTTGGCCCACGTGGGAATCAAACCTGAGACCCCTTGGCTGTCGCACTTGCGACCACTCGGCCAACGTATAAAGAATTAACACGAAATGTACTAAAATGACATAAATAGAAAAAGAGTACCTACACACATATAAGAAAGAGTAGAGAGTAGAACACATATACATATTTAGGACTATCTTACTGATATTATAAATGCCAGTGTCAGTGGCCTATACGCCGGCACTTTTATGTTTCAATGGTTTCACCTGAATACATTTTTGAAAAGTACTTGGCTCCTTGTAGCCTTGGATCCCATGGGGATTACGGCAATACCAGCTCCAAGAAGATGACTTCGTCTTTCAATTGATGATGAGTATGATTTACTGTTACACATAGTGATTGTTATGCGCATGTCAAAGTGTGATATATAGTTTTGGAGTCTATATATAAATGCTATCTATCATCTGCAATTATATTTAATAGGTTGCAACAGAGACTGGAAATCACCGGACGTTTAAATATAGTTTCATTAGATTCGTCACATCAGTCCATCTAGCCAGTTATAATTAGCATTAATAAAATGAGGACTACGTCAGAAAAGTTTAAATGTTCAATTAGGAAGGCAGTCTAGAATATATGACAATCTATTTATTAAACGATAGTGACGTAGATTATACGAACGAATATTTCTG